GTGAATATACTGTGACTGTTACTGAAATATGTTGGTGGCGCAGACGTAAGATGGTCGCCAGCCACTTAGGTGGTCCAGGGTTCGATCCCCGGCCAACGCACTCACTTACATCGCTTATCTGGTAATAAACCCGGCAAAAGGAGATGGCTGGGCGTGAGACTAGCGAACTCATCCCGTAAAAATAAAATACCCACTGCTACCGAAACTTCAGAGCTGTAGCTTGAAGCCCTATGTTCCACTGGGAACGCAAAGGTATAAAAGAAATACTGAAATATTCGTTCCGTCTCAAATCGCGTGTTCTCGCTTAATTAGAACAGAAGGGGGAATCAAGTAGTTGTTGTATACGATGTTACAGTAGCCAGTGATATTTCGTGATCACCGCGTCTGTGTCCAGGTCGGCTTCCTTATTTCAATCTTAATATAAAATTGGCGACACCATAACAGCAAGTCCTCACTAAAAATTTTCTACCGTCACGTTTTTCTGGAAACTGTCGTCTCCAAAAACAATCTTCAGTTCACATTTACACAACTCGAAACATTTTGCTTGCAAAATATCGTAGAGTACATATTATTCTAACGTTATCATGCACAATTCTATGGTAAGGCAGCAAGATTTGTGAATACTTACTAAATAGCTGTGTACGAAGCATCTGAGGCAAGAACAATTATATGTATTATCTAGAACATTTTAACTACCTAGACGACCATATCAACAAAATAGATTCCAAATAATCTAATTCTCGCTAAAGCATTGATGAGAAGGAAGCCGAGAAGTGTACATGACGCTTTGATATGTATGCTATATGCAACCAAGTCTTCAATCAACCCAAAAATCTTCGAAGTTGGGACACCTGTGTTTTTAGAGAGTGGAAGGCAGGACACAGCAGATGGATGGAAAGACTGACTATTATCAAACATGGCAACATGCTATAATGCGGTAACGTGGCATAGTGTCACAGTTGGGACAGAGATTTGGACATAGTACAAGAACCAACTGTGACTGTGCGCTTCCTATGACTACAACTAGATATATTTGGAATACAGACTGAAACTCATTTGCAAGGTGTACGATTTTACATGTAACACCTTTATCATGATTCAATGAGGACTTTAACATCATTAGTCAATTCAAAAGAAGATGGTCTATGATGAAGTCCTTCGTTATAATCGACAAATCTTACTACAGAAGGATCATTTATCCAGTGACTAGAAAACAATGCATTTGTACTTAGCTGGATTATCAATCAATCATTAGTATTACTAACCTTCAGTCCCTACTGCCGAACTGTCCCAAACTATGACAAAAATGGCTGTCCGGCACTCCCTAGCTTTCAACTGTTCTCAGTTGCATCCAGTTCGTGACCTTACTTTAAATTAATCACAGCCCTGTAAATCGATCCTTAATTTTTCGTAGTCGGGAACAAAATTACCAGTCAAGTTAGGTAATGAATGTCTTCACTAATATTTTTTTATGTAAGCGACTGGTGAAAGAAATCCGTTTTTGTGAAGCAAGTACTGTTCGCTTAACGGAGCTACTATTCAGGAAAACAAATCAGAGGTTCCTTACGCCTATAATTGATGTATGTACATAAAGTGCTTGACAAATTTAGGTAATATTATGTTCATTGAAGCGAACGGTGGTATCGTGAAGCATTAATTGTCATTCTAAACAATACACTGTCAGCAAAAACACAAAAAGAAGTAGAACATATAGTCATGAATTTTTTTCATTCTTTGCTTTCCGGGTGAGACATCAAGCTGAAAGCCATGATGTTTCATTAGAGGTAGCGTTGTTTCTACGGGGTGTGGTTGCTAGCCTCACGTTCAGCCTTCCTTCTTTTCCCCGATTACCACCGGCTAGAAGAGTTTTCACGTTTGATCTCGAGCTGACATCACTTCGAGAACCATTAGAAAACCAGGAAGTAACCAATAGCTGCTTCATCTTAGTTTGGGACTCTTCATCAGCACTCGCTCAACACGGTTCGAACCCAGGACCTCTCGATTACAAGACAAGCTCGTAGACCATTCAGTCACTGGGACTCAATCCAATTGCCCGCGAAATCCAACTTCTACCAATTCGTAATTTTATTCCGATCACCAACCAATGTCATAGGCGAGTAATTCTTCGCTTACCTGACTTGTTGAGGTGATGTTTAGCAGTGCACAGGGCAGGGAATCTAACCCAGACCTCCAGGATGGTTGGACCAACGATACACACGATTACGATTACTATTGCCTTAATAGCGAATAGTGAAAACCTCAGATATAGTTTTTGATAGAAGTATTACAGGTCAATTTATGCATTGACATAAACTTGCTTTTATCACCTAGTCAGGGAGAAGTGCGACGAGATGACTGTACAAGTTAGAAAAATTAGGTTTACCAAAACGCGTGTGCAGCAATGACACTAACATACTTCTAAAATAAGTAATGGCATTGTAGATATTCTGAAGTGTCGTTTAATAGGGGTGTGATTGATTTCAATTTAGATTAAGAAATGACTTCAGTTAGAGAACCGCTGAAAACCAAAGGATGCTGAATATCTGTTTCGAACCAATTCAAGACTCTTCAGCAATACACACCTATGATCCCATCTGGGACCAGACTCAGAGGCGTCAGTTTAAGAGGCAAGCCAGCTGGCTATTCAGCTACTAGAACAGAATTCAATGACTCATGAATTCTAATTTGCGCCAACTTGTAGTAAATTGCACCACTGACAGTCAATGTTATCAGCCAGTGTTTGTTCCCACATCAGACTTGGTAGACCTTACTCATCACAACTCCTCACTGAAACTGAAGACAACTTCATCTTATAGTCAAAGTCACTAGTAAACATCAGATTAATTTTAAGGTGTTGGTTTTCAGGAATTTGACTGATTTCAGTTACGATCACAAGCTGACATCAATTAAAGAACACCACTGCTGGCGAAACAGTTGTTCAGCAGTACTCCATGGTTTCCAACAGTACTGCAAATGAAGTCCGTGTGTCGTCTAAAAAGACATATGGTAAAGAACTGGAGCAATTGACTGAACCAAATATGACGAAAAAGAAGCTAAAGACACTCCATTTTTTGTTGTTACGAATGACAAATTGATAACATCACAAAACAAAAGTCATCCATCTGGAAGGCTGTAAATATCATCAGGATTATTCATCTAAGCGGCACTTTTTCTCTTCTTTTTTTTCTGAATAACTATATCATTGAATGTTATTATCCCGAAAAGTTATTAATTTTTTATAGTCATTCTTTTGCTTTACTAAAGAAGAAGGAAGGAAGGGAAACAATGCTCAACTCATACGATCAATATAATCGTCATCATCATGCTCATCATCCGCTTTTTTTTCAAATTCTTTGCTCAAAATTTTCAATGTCCAATATCTAGTGTAAATAAATAACAATGATAATGGAAAAAACTAAAGCTAAAATAAATATATATGCGAAATACGACTAAATACAAATTAAGGTTTAAGTGTATTTAAAATAAATAAATAAATAAAATAAATTTTTATTTTTAATATTTTTCTTTGGTAGAGAGGGGGGAGAATTGAGTACTATCGAGCCATCAAAAAGTAATATACGTTTGGTGCTATGAAAAGCATATTACTGAGACAGTGAAAGGTCAAGCTTTTTTTGTCTAACATGTAACAAAGAGTATGAAGTGAAGAAAAGATCTAATGAAGTCAATAAGTTTCACAGAATTCGCTGTATAGATTGATTCAAGCATAAACATTGACTTTAGGGAAATCATTCAAGTAGTAAAGTGTCTACGCTGGGACTCGAGCCCACTTTACAACAGTACTGCAATCAGAGACGACACCAGTGAGATAATAAAGCGTTATTGTTTCAGTGATATAATACTCACCAACCACGTGCTTGGTCAAGTGTTCGACTCCTGGCTGATGCACTCTTAAACATCGACACAGATACTAAAGTTACCAGTAAGTCTTGAAAATAGGGAAGCTTGAGAGTGAGGCTAGCAACCCCACCTCATCAAGAAAAGAAGCTTTGAAACCCCATGTTCCACTTTGATTTAAAGGAGTTAAAGGAAGAAAAAAATCAAGGAGAATTCAACAGTTATTAAGTCGTACCCCCTCCTTCAGAATTGCAGAGAAATAATAATTTATCAGATCGACACCTGGAACCTCAGGTTTTGAGATCAACAGAGTTGGAAACGAAGCAATAACTAAAATTTTTCCAGTTTCTATCAATTTCTGATACAATATGGCAATAATGGGTGTCTCATACCAAAATCCACTTGAAAATCAATCAAATCTCTACAAATTTAACATTTGACTGACTAAAATCAATAAAAGATAACTACCACTCAGAGAAGTGATAATAATAAGTGGAATATTGCAAGTTGAGTGTTAGAACAGATAATGTATCGGCCAATGACATCAGATGTAAGACATTCTATATCGAAAATGGCCTAGAAGTTTGGCACGTTGAATGACAACTTATTTACACAGTGGTAATAACTATAATAGCGCCAGTGGCACAAGGGTAGAATGCTCGCCGACCACCCACTTGATCCGCGGTTCGATCCCCGGCCGGCGCACTCCCTTACCTCGCTAGACTAGTAATAAGACTGGTAAAGAGGGAAGGTTGGGCATGAGGCTAGCAACCCCATCCCGTAAAAATTAACACCACTGCTACCGAGACTTTAAGCCACTAGCTTGAAGCCCTATGTTCCACTGGGAACATAATAATAACTATTTTTTAATTAATTAATTTATTTATTTTGATTACAGCTTGATGCCACACCGTATTTTCAGTACAAGTATGGAATTTTCAGCATGGAATTCGGTAGCCCAAATTTAGCAGGCCGACGATAGATATCGGGTGTGCGTCGGCAGGGGATCGAACCCCGGACTATGTGCATGGTCGGTGAGGGTCCAAACCACTGTGCCGCCGACGCACATAACTCAAAATGATTCAGTCTTCTTTTATCGATTAAATAAGAGCACACACTATATATATCTGTACACAATGACTTACTTTCTTCTTCATATTGTATACCAGATAAACCAACAAAAACGGGTGTAATTTTAACTTCTGGTATTTCAGCTGATGTCCATCTTCTACGACTTGAAGAATGCATTGCTGATTGAAATTGATGTAAATCTTGTGGTTTTTGTAGTAGACCCTGTAATTCACTTTCTTCACAGGTATCATCTACATCGTGTGGATACTTTTGATTGAATCGTTTAAATTTTGCATCAATATAAGCATCTTTATATTTTTGTTGCATTAATAATCCATTATAATAAGCTTCTTTTTCATTAGTTGGTGGTGGGACAGTATACATCTGTGTTGATGAATACATCTTTGGTTTCATTTCCATCCAATCAGTACTCATGTGTTCAACATTATCACCTAATGTAAGTGATCTTTTATAGAGGGATTTCTGTTTTCTGCCTTGTAGATGAGTTGGTAAATACTGTTGTTGAATTCTTCTATATACTGGTGGTCGATGCATTGAATGCTTTGTTATGCCCGGAATCATTTTCGCCTGTGATATACTATCTTTATCCGATGCATATCTTAGATAGGTATGATCACTTTCTGTTATTCCCGGCCATTCATTGCCACCATCTTGTGGTTCATAATAACCAACTGGTATCCCCCTATCACTAGGCTCACCTAAATGTGTTGTCGGTGAATATGACAATTGATGTGGTCTACGGCGTGTAGCACTGGTATATGCTGAGTCGAAGCTTTTTGCAATGATATGCGGATCTCTTATCACATGACGTGATGGAATATCAGTGCTCGGTCGATACGGTGAACATGGTGCACTAATGCTAACAGCTGTTTCTGTTTGAAAATCTAATTGTTGTTTATAATAGTGTTCTTTAAATGGTTGTATAGGCTTTTGCCGAACTTGATACGATGGTACGCCTACTTTTCCTTTCTCGAATTCACGTGGATTTCCTAAAGTTGAAAATGTTTTCATTGAGGATTCTTGATATGGTTGACGTTGATGTTCACTGTCAACATCATCACTGGTCAAGTGTTTTTTCATCATAAGTGGATGTGATATTTGTTTCTCATCTAAACTACAATGAACATTGACAGTATCTCTAGGATTACTTAAATATTGTGTTGACATTTTTCTATGAAATGGTAACTGTCCAGCTTCTAAAGATACCCAATCTAAACTACTTCCCAAACCTGAAGTATCTGCACTCCCCTGTTTTGTTGATGTATCGAATTGTTTTGATGCAGTTCTTATCCGTCTGATATTTGTACTAATCGACGATAAATGTGATGGTATATGTGGTATTGAAAATACAGATTTTCTCTTGCTGACATAACTTCTCCCGCGTTCATTGTATGCAGAATCACTAAGATCAGCACTCAGTGTAACACCAGGTTGATTTTCATGAAATTGTTTTGAAGTTTTTGTCAATCTACCATATTCATAATTTCCACCGCATTCAGAAGTATCTAAACTTATACGACAATGTGAATGTGATGTATACGGGGAGCATGTTGTTGAATAAGGTTGATTATCCGATGTAAAGTCAACAGATACACCAGAATCTTGTGTTTTAGCTAGTGAACCAGATCCTTTAGTTAATGAGCCCTCTTGATGAATAATAACTTCTTTTTCAACATCATCTGGACATTTAACAGCTGCTCTAGCTGCTAATGACCATAATTTACGTCTTCGTTCACTTGGCATTCGATGAAATGACTTCATATCACTTTCTGTCTCCATTACTATAATTAATATGAGATTAATAAGAGTAATATAATTAGGATTATTCAAGTTTTATTTTGCTTTTTTTAGTTTTCTTCTAAGATAAACATTTTGTGTTTTAATTTTTGACACTGAATGACACTTAGTATTATTATTGTTACATTATCAGCATAAAGTTAATCCATTGATCATCACTGAACAAAAAGTTGATAATAATTTAACTTTCATCTTAACATTTGATGCATAAGCAGCAGTGTTAAAGATTAAACAAAATAATAATAAGGAATAACTTTGTAGATTTCATTTTTGTTTTAAAAAAAATACAATAATTCCCTTTTCTTTTTCAGATAATATGAAAAACAAAAGAAATGTGTATAAATGGAATTAATTACTGAAATAATATATATACTACTACTATTATTATTAGTTACTAGTATTATCCACCGTATGTAAATATTCATTCATTCTGTTTGTGAGCATTTTTATAGAATAGTAGAAAGATCCATTAATACTCCTTTGATTCTGTAGGGTTATAATATCAGATAACATGCTTTTTTTTACATATTTAGGAATAAATTTGAGAATAGGCATTAAAATTCTTTAACTTTTCATGTAATTACTGTAAATTATTTCACTGAAATTAAAAATAGCGAAGAATTAATCAAAATAGTAATATAGTAGTCAGAGTAGTATGCTAATTGTAATATTCACTTTATGTGATTGTGAGAATAACCCCCGCGGATTTCTGATTGGCTAATATATATATATGACCAGGATGACCTTGAGAGGAAATATAGATCTTAACTAGACTAAAATGAGTAGTAGTAGTAGTAGTGGTAGCATTAGTTAAGCCAACTAAATGAGGCTGATGGTCTGTAATTCCCATTCTGTATGGTTGTCCAATAAAGATATAGGCAGATAGATAGATAGATGGATACAAGGTAAGCAGATGGCTTAGGTTAGCGTGGGTGTTCTCATACATATTTAAAAGGCTCGAGTATTTAATCTCTGGCAGAATACTTGAGTGATACAGACAGATAATTAACCAGACATCCTCTTTATAAATCATATAATACTCACTAGGTATGTATGTGTGTATGTGTTTGTATATCACTCAACACGGAAGGAAGAACTAATCTCTAAGCCAATGTTAAATAAAGCCGATAAGACGACTCTTTATTTTATGGCAGTGGGATTATTATTACCTTAAAAGTCTGACTTTTTTCTTTGATGTCTTCCACGAATAAATTCTGAAACATGGCCATCGGTTAAGGTGGTATGTTTATTATATATTATTAAAGGCTGACAATAATTTAATACATAGTTTTAAGTGGGTAAAGCCAGTAGGTCGCTAAGCTATTTTCTCAATAAATAAATATATTATAAATTAATAATGTTGGGAGAGATAATAAAATTTTGACTAATAATATCGGGAATAATCCCATTTTTGATTAGACATTACATATTGAATAAGACTCAGGCAAACACCCTGACACACACACAAACACACAAACACAAAAATGCAGGCAGGCAGCCTACAAACATAGATACATAAAACGAAATCTACACAGAAGAAAAAATAAGGACTCTAAATAAAGTGAAAACAAAATGGACATTCTTCCACACATTTTAAAAGTCTCATTTTAAGACATCTATAGAGATGTTGGAGGAGATTGAGTGAAGAGGGGGTGAGAAACGGTGAGCAATTGTGATCTCAGATGAAGAGGACGGCAGAAGATAGGACAAAGTGGGGATGTGTTGTTGAAGCCCTATGTTCCATTAGGACCTCAAGGGAATATATATATATATAGATGTTGGACCAATTTTCTGTCCTTTTCTTTTCCTTTCTCTGCCTTGGCTTTTTTAAACTCAATTTTCTTTTTTCTTCCTCCATTCAGGACCACCAATATCATCACTTACTTATTTAAACAGGATTTCTTTTCTACAGGAAATTTTGAAGAAAATGACGGTATATATATATATATATATACAAGGATGTCTTCATGGCTTTCTAGAAAAAAAAGCTAAAGGAATGCCTATCTTGGTTTTTCCAGTTTTTAGTGAATGAAGTGAAGTGGTTAGGGAAAAAAATGAAATGAGGCTGGAGAGAGAAAAGTACTCAAAATGAAGAAAAATGCATTCTTTTCATTTCTGTGTGTAAATGATACCAGTTATTTTGAGTGTTTCGTGGGCATTTATGTGTGTGTGTTTGTGAGAGAGTGGAGGAATTACAGTCAATTGTGGATTAATTGATGATAATGTTTTCCAAATAACTCAAGTTCTCTACTCTAAAAGATGATTTTGGCGTAATTCCATAGCTACAAATGATGCGAAATTTCAAATGTGTAGACTGTTCTAATTTACTGTGAGAGAACCTAGTATTGATTAGTCAAAACTCTGTGGATTATCCATGTGATTCGTTATATATTCAGATATATGTTGTTGTAATTAATACCTTTGGTTTTCGAGTAGAACATAGGGCTTCAACAGTACATCTCAGTTTCATCCTGTCCTCTGTATCCTTCTTTAGCTAGCTGTATGATTGCCTCATAAACTTTCATTATCTGATCACACGACCACCTCTATGTCATCTTTGTACTTATGCGCATTTGTGTTCCACTCAAGCGGTGGTCAATCTCCCGTGTGTTGTCACTTTGTGGTCTTCTCTATGTATGTGTATTAGTTTATTACTGATGGATTTCTGGTTGGTTTGTTTCCAGAATCCCTCGTCGCTTATCTTTTCTACCCGGCCATCTAACTGTTGATGTTGGAAAGAAGGCAGCTGTTGATGAAGGTCTGCAGTAGGCTATTGAAAATGCTTTTAGTGACACGCGTGCAAAGTCTCCAAAGTCAGTAGGAGCAGTGATTTAAAACATCAGTGATGAGATTTTGGATCTTTTTCTGTGTTTTGAATGCTGTAGATCTCCACACTAATTTCAGAATAGTGAAAGCCTGCCTCACTTTCATGGTCTTGGTTGACGTTAACATCTTCATCCGTGCCACACGTAGTTCAGATGATACCTCTTATTTAATTGAAAGAGACGATTTCATTCATATTTTGTTGCTTGTTGTTCTCGCTAAGGTATCTTCATAATAATAATAATAATTTGCTTTATTCCAGAAACAGTACTAGTGGTAGAGTGTGGAATTTTCAGCACATATCTACAATATTTGCATCTAATTTTACCTAACGTTTGAAAGGAGTATTTCAAAAAAAAATAAATATTAAGACAACAACAGCAGAAAAGGGAAAAACACAAAATAAATTTTAAAAAATGCGAAAAAAATACCAAGAAGTATAAAGGAGAATAAAAAACATAAAATAATATCTCAGTATTGGGTAGTGGAAGCAATGATATGATTATGCATGGTGACAGTAAAGCTACAGTGATACAAGAAGTTATGAAATGATATTTAAGAATGTTTATCGTCAAGATGATCAGTTAATTTGGTTGAAACAACACTAAACAATCATAAAATAACATTTCAGGCTTGTTGTTTTGTTTTCTATTGTCAGGTCTAATGCGGTGTTCGTAGTGGTACTGTGAGTAATCCTGTATAACACAAAATTTTAAGATGGTGATAATGGCTTTCACAACCAAGATTGTCAGTTAATATTGCCGAAAAAAATGAAAAAATAAGAAAAAAACAACCACAAAAACTAATAATTACATGATGGTTAATGACAGGACAATTTTGTAACACTCATAGTGCTAATATAGTCGGAACCAGTAGATACACAAAAGAAGGAATACAGTAAAGTACAAAAAGTAAGCCAATGTTAATAATTTATGTAGCTAAGTATGTATAAGAAGGAGTTCACTAAAGAATACAAATAAGAGAGAAATAAAAGAGCCTAAAATTATGTTATTAATAACAAAGCAAGTCATACGTTTCACGCTTAACATTGTCTCTGTCACTTAGAACACGGGCCAAGTATGGTATCGTTGAGTTCCTGTACTTGGTTGTACGAGCATAGATTATTTTATACTGATTTCTGGTTTGACTTGAAGAGATACAAGGAGAGAGTTGGAAATAGAGGGGGTATTGAGGGTCGGAGAGTACGCTTTTAGACCATCTTTCGCATGTATTCAGGTGGTTTACAACTAATGTAGTGACGAGCTGACTGAGTTTTACACCGCTAGTCCTACTAACTACCTTCAACATCCTTCTCAGGATGGCATAGTCCTTTTTCAGTAGACCAGGAAAGACTAATGGGGAGCAGTAAAGTAGAAAAGGTAAGATACAAGAGTTGACAAATTGTGAAAGTAAAGTTTAAGTTTCTTAATGTAGTAGGTTAGATGGAACACTTTCTTGGAAATCGTTAGGATATGAGATGTCCAAGTATGGTCGGAAGATAGAACTAGACCGAGGTATTTTGCATTAGACTTAGTTTCAATTTTAGTCCCCTCAATTCCCCTGAATTCCTGCATTACCAGCCTCCTTTGGCATTACCACTTTGTCAACCTGTGTTACTTTCTTTCTTGGTTTGGATATTTTCGGTTCTCAGACTGAAACCGCTGAAACAGTGTATGCATTCTTTATTGCATCAGTTCAGTGAAATAACTATTAGGTTTTAACTCTAATATGTCAGTCATTTCGGTTACATTATGACTAAGGTTTCGCCTAAAACAAGGGAAACAAATGTTTCCTGTTTAGATTAATTTAATCTGTCTGGCAAACACTATTGATTGACGTGAGATACTTCAAACTACTCATGTCAATCAGTAGTTTGTGTCGTTTATTTTATATAACCTAAAAAAATAATACTAAATTGTTAATTTCAAGTTGTCTTCAACCAGGATGCATACCACTACTTTATACGCCTGAGACTGTGAAAAGTACCATTTGTGGAATTTATTGGTTTTCTCACTCTATTGTCACAAAAACTCAAAGATCTAAAGGGATAAAGTACAGAAAAAGCAGGGGTGATGAAGACACTTAAACGATAGCAACGAGTACCAATCGTTCTCAAGGTAGAAATTTGTAGGAGGTCACTTATTTCTCTTCTTATCCAGGCAGTATCATTTGAACTACAGACACTGGCACGGATGAGGGTATGAAACACAGGATCGGAAAAGTAAGCCAGAACATCGTTAATCTGAAATCCTTGTGGAAATCCATTACAATCAGAACAAGTCTCTGATTATCAGGATTAATGCTAAATCAGTTCTTCTACACGGTTTAGAGACTTGGCACTTGTGTCACGAAGAAAAAAACACTTCGAAAAGGCTTCACACTTTCATCAACAGCTGCCTACTGCAGCTGTATACTGAAGATCAGATGACCTATTGGAAAGAATTAGCAGCAAGGAACTCTGGCAACTACTTAATCAAGAACCTGTTGCTCGACAAATATTCAGAAGAAAATGGGAATGGATCGCAAACACTCTGACGAGAGTGTTGAATGACATTGCGCTACAGGTCCTCTAGTGGAATCCTAATGTGGAAAGACAGGTTGAGTGTCAGAGAGTGACCTGGCGGAAATTATGTGAGGAGAAAATGAAAGCTTATGAGTAGTCGTCGAGGCAGATAAAAAGGTCTGATCAGATCAGAGTGAAATAGGAATGGGCTGTTGAAGCCTTGAATTTCAGCCGGAACCCAAGGGAATACTAATAATTATGACAGAAGTTGAAAGATCTCAGTTGACTTAACTGACAAGGA